CGAGTAACATCTCGCCCAACCCTTCTCCCATATTTCTAATTGTTTACAAATGTTTTCCATAAGTTTTATTGAGCCTAAGACTTATTTTCGAGTATAAATCAACATCTTTGTTAGGGTTAATGCTAGAGATCATGTATTTCGGATTTTAAATCCCCACTCACAAGTTTTTCATGAAAACCCAGATCTGGAATTTTATTTAATGAATAAAAATGTGAGTTTTATTTTGATTAAATGCTTTCTTTCATGTATAGGAGATAAATGTTAGATTTAACCTACAAGAAAATCGTTTCTCATAATAAATATGTTTTTCTCACTGTATTATAGTCGAGAATCGATGGCTATAGAAGTGTAGATCAGAAAATTGGAAGTGGGATCGTGTTGAACAAGTTACAGTTGGGAGAAATGCTTTGTTCAGCCCGTGAGTCGACCCACGGCTCATCATGAGTCGACTCAACAGGTTGAGTCGACCCATGACTGTCATGAGTCGACTCATGAAGTCCTTTCCTGCTATTATTTGTGTTCTGCTGAGTCGACTCATATTGAGCACGAGTCGACTCATCACAGTTTTTTTTCTTTCTGTTTCGTTCGTGCTTCCGTTTAAATCATCTGTTGTATTTATATATACATGTATGTATACAGTGTTTACATATTTCAAGGGTACTATCTACCACGTTTGGACTTGAGGAGTGCCTTGTTTATTGAGTATTTATTTGCAGTGAATATGACTTCACCTATATATGTGAGATGACCTTTCGGACACAAGTTTAAGTCAGTACAATAGGGTATGTACGGGTATAAGACATGCATACTTTCTTATACGCAGTCCTCGTGCTGGACTATAATCCATTAAAGTCCTCGTGTTGGACTATAATCCATTTAAGTCCTCGTGTGGGACTATAATCCATTAAAGTCCTCGTGTTGGACTATAATTCATTTTAATCATGTTTTAGACTTTTGCTAAACCTTAAGCATGTTACGAAATCAAGTTGGGTACATGATATGTTGTATTAGGATGGGACATGATAGCTACCTAGGTTGTGCATGAAATCTATTGTAGCTTTGTCATGTTTACACTTTATTGGTAGAGATGAGTATGTATTCTTTTCTTTATTTATTTCTTATGACCAACCTCGGGTTTAATATTTAGGGAGCTACAATTTGAGATACAAGGTATATACATGAGGGTTTCCTAGTTTGGATTATTTTGCTCGACGTACCTATGCTCGTGTTGTATTTCCCTATGTACTAAAACCCATAAATGATTGTGTAAATGATTTATATTATTATGTATTAACTGTATTTTCATGTACAACGAGCCTTATCCCTTGGGGTTGGTTGTGATGTTGCTCGCTAGTGCTTTGACGCTCATTGTCTCTCCCCCTTTCAGGTAACGAGCCAGGAGCCCAGAGAGTCGCAGGTTGACGGCGATGCACTTTAGCTTCAGCCATCTATTTTTAGTTATATTTTCTTTGAGCTCTATTGTAGACTTCTGTTTAAACATTTGAGAGTTTTATTCTAGAAGTTGTGAAGGCTGTGTGCCTTATTTTCTCTTGTCAGACATTTTGTATTTGAGACTTGATGAGAACTCCGGTTTATTTATTTCGTACATTTATTTGTATTCCAACATATTAGATGGTGAAATATTAATTTGATCTTTATTATTTCATCAGTTGATTCTTGTATAACCTTTTACTTGCTTTGTACTACATGTGTTGTTGATTCCACTAGAGAGATAGAAATTGTGATGGTGAAACATGTTATTGCACGGTGTGGTGCATGGCAGGTTTGATATTTCTGGTTTTACCTCGGACTGCAGCCTTATGTGAACCCAGGGGCGTCACAGTTGGTATCAGAGCTCTAGTCCCAGTATCCTTAGGATCAAAACGAGCCCAGCGGTCGACCGCACCGGTCGACCGCCGAGCGGACAGAAACCCAAATCTGGGTTTCTGTCAGCTCGAAACCTGAAACAAAATTTCTACGATAACAAGTGTTCTAAAGTTATGGAAGAATAACAACTAGTCTCAAGCATGAAATCCACCTTCCCAATATTTCAAAATACATGAGAAACAAATTAAAACATTTTAATGACAGTAAAACATGTTTAAACTCTTGTTTAAGAAATCTCAGATCTAGATCTTCATTAGACAAAACGTTGGTGAACTTTCATAAACTAAAATATCGATTCTTGCAATCCATGTTGTAAAGAACTAATTTTTATACGAAAATACATGTTGGGCTCTTCAAAAACTCATGAAAAATCGAAATAAAACCATAGAAAAATAGGGGTGAGGGATTGGGCGAGATGATACTCGCCTTAGATGCTGACAACTGCCCTGGAGATGATCCTCCTTCGCTCAAATCTGTGAAAATCCCCTGGAACTCCTCCGAACTCCTCAAATCACTAGGTCCAGCTAGGGTTTTTGAGAAAAGAGAGATGGGGATAGGGTTTTAGGTCTGAGATAAAGAGAAGCTCTCCTGGGTTGAAATAGTACATATACAAATGCCCTAACCCGACCCAAAACCCAATAAGACCAAAACAAAAATCGTAAAAGAAAACAAACCTGTAAACCCTCTGTCCCGCTGATCGGTCGACCGCCACGGTCGACCGCTCAGCACAAAAATGCCCTCTGTTAGGCATTTCACATGCTGGCCTTAACACTCGATTTCTCTAACTTAAATACACTTGTTGGGTGCCCAAACACTGATAAAAAAATATACATCTGATATATATACATGATTATTCATCATAAGAGAATTATTCACTATTAATAATTCACATATATTTATTATAGAATTTTCGGGGTTTTACATTCTTCCCCCCTTAAAAGAATTTCGTCCTCGAAATTCAGAAATCATACTTAACGATCTAAAATGATAATATTCTCGCTTAAATCCTAATCTAGTGGGACTAGTACATCGGGTGAAAAAATCCAAACAAGGAACCCCCCATATATATACCATGTGTTCCAAAAAGATTAAGAATTAAGTAGAAATATTCACATTCTAGTGTTAAATGTAAATATAACCCAAGATGTAAACATAAGACTTCATCGATTTCGCTCAGGCCATCGCTCAGGCCAACCCACCGCCGCCGCTCGGACTGAGAAATCGGCGACCGCCGCCGCTCGTTTCGTCTCGTGAGGCCAACCCCGACTCCCCCTTTCGATCTCTCTTGACAGGTAAAATTTCAACTCGACCGCCCTCCTTTCTCTTACTGTAATGTTCTGTAAATTCTAACATCATTTACTGTTAAATTTTGAAATATTTGTTCTAGGGTTTAATTTTGAAATACTTTGCAAATAACGACACTCTTAAAAACAGCATGTTTATATAATCTCGATGGTAATTTTGGTAAAATATAGAACTGGATCTAGACAGTGAGACGGACATGAGATGGTTAATTGCATTACAGAGAACAAAAGTTGGCATTATAGAGAAATAAAACATGTTACAAACTTCTTATTCAAGGAACTTTTGAATGTTCCATAAGCGTAGCTGATATGAAGTCAAGTTTAATTAAAACATGTTACAAGAAATTAAGAGAATTTTTACTGTGGTTTTGCTTCAAACCATAATTTTTTAGGTGGTCCATAGCAAGAAAGAGTTTTTACATTGTGAAGAGAGGTCGACGGTGTGGAATTTATAATAATTGGGAGGACTGTAAAATGCAAGTTGATAAATTCCCAAATGTCGTATATAAATTGTATGCAACGTATGAAGAGGCTTTGGTTGAATGGAATAAGCACGGCATCGCTAGTGATTCAGTATCCAGTACAGGGCATGTCCAAACACCTTTTTATGTCCCGACACCTGATTCTGCATCAAGCTCAAGAACTACTATTTCCCCCACCTATGCTTTTGCATTAGGTTCAGTGTTTACCATGTTATTGTTTGTAATATGTATCGTTGTCGTATTTTTTTTTTCTCTCTTGCAAAAAATATGTGATTGTGAGAACTTATGTATCGAGTATCTTATGTGATTGTGAGATTGTGAGAACTTATGTATCTTGTGAGAACTTATGTGATTGTGGGATGTTTTATTACTTTGGCTTTTATCTAACCCTGCTATGGATGTGCTATGCCTTCTTTCTATATTAGTGATGCATAAGAACTTATGTCATGTTTGATAGAAAGCTTTGCTTGTTCACCTAGGCTCTGCTGGAGTTCTAGAAAAAACCCACCATCATTCTCTCTGGGAGGATTTATTGTCCTATGCTAGTCTTATACTTGACAATTTTCTGCTCCCTCAGTTTATTCTCAACAAGTTTCTAAATTGAAACAACTTTCATGCCTCGAATTACATCAGAATAGATTTGTGAGTTCAATTCCAGATTCTATCTCTAATCTTCAATCACTCTCTTACCTTGATCTCCATGGGAACTTGCTGAATGGTTTGATTTGTGAGTTCAATTCCAGGCTTCTGGCCGACTGAATCCAGCCTCGTTCATCTGGTTACTGAGTACATGTAATATAGGTTTCTTTGATCCGTACTCATCTCTGCTGTTCTCCGCATACTCTGTAGCTTCAGCAGCCACCTCGTTCACAAAATCGAACCTATTCTCCTCTGATAGCAACAACCTCGCGATGTCCATAGACATTATCTTTCTAGTTTCTCTAATCATCCTCACTTGTTCTTCGAGAAAAGGTATACGCTCCATCTTGTAGCGCAATTTGTCATCTTTCTTTGTCTGAAATAAACACATAACACACCAACATTAGCTGCCAAATAAATTGAATTTTCTTCCTGAACAATGTTATACTTTGTCATTGAGGATTCTAAACCCCAAAGATTGTAGAATTTATATAACTTGTTATATCAAACTTGTCTCTTCTGTAGACATAGAGCAAGCTAAAGGGCCAAAATTGGATTGAATTTATGTTCCCAGGAGATTTAACACCTAGCACTACTCCCAATCCAATTTTAAATCTGACATTTAGAATAAATAACATAATACAATTCACATACATCAGCATAAATGAAAGTTACTACAAGAACTGCATAAATGAAAGTTACTACAAGAAGCCATAGAATTAAAACTTACAAACTTCACAATATAATTCACATACATCAGCAGCTACAAGACAACAATCCATATCAAATAACCAATAACACACACACATACTCGGTCTTAATACATTAGTCTTAACACATCAGCAGCTATAAGGCACAATCAGTCTTAACACAATCAGTCTTAATACATAAAATGTAGTAATACATCAGCAGCTACAAGACAATCAGCAACAGTTGTGGATGAACCTGAGCAACATGTACAAGCAAATAAATTATTTGTTAAAAGTTAAAAACAAAGTAAATAAAGCACTGTTAAAGATTGATACACAAAAATGCATAAGATCATACGTACATTAATCATGAGATAATGACTTCTTGAACAAACCAATACATCCACCACCCGTGCATATGTTTACCTGCAAATTATATGACAAATTAATCATGAGATATGACTTTGTGCTATCAAGTTTCATAAACTTATATAGGGTTAAAACTGAATATAAACGAAAATGGTACCTTTGCAAGTTAACTTTACAACTAGTTCTATAATGCCCGAGTTCACCACATCTGCTACATATGTGTTTCTTCCTTTCTTTCTTTTCTTGTGCCTGTTCTAAACCTGACTGGATTCTAGTAGCATTGCGTGGACGACCTTTAGTCCTTACAAGTCTATCAGGATCACGAACTGCTATCTGAGGAATGTTCTCTATTGTATGTGAAATGGGTGCAGAAGGTTGAGGAATATCCATAATTTGATCTTGAGTTTCTCCAACTTCTTCTTCAAGTGATTCTATGAAATTTGTTAGCACATCATCAAGTTGTTGCAGCTTCTCTTCTGAATCAAATGCAAGCTCGAGCACATTATTGAATTTTGCTCTTAAAGCCCAAGATTTTAATAAATTAATCTTCTCTTCATAGCTGGTGATGTTTCTTCCAAATACAATATTGCCAACCCCAATGTTACGATGCCTTGCATGTATGGTCCAACGGTGTAGGATGTAGTGGTCGGGTAATGAATCCATTTGCCTAGCCATCATTAGCGATAATATATGTCTACATACAACACCATTAGTTTCAAACAAAGCACAAGTGCAACAGAACTGGATCTGACTAGATTGTTCATAAGTAACCAGCTCCCATTTTCCTCTATCTGTAAACTTACAGACCTTGTATTCAACAATGTCCTCATCTTTTCTCAATTCTTCACAGAACTCTGTACCAAATCCTTTGAATTCAGTATGGAACACATCAAACATATTGCGTGTATACATTTCTCCAGCTTGGATCTCAATTGGATGTCCAAGGAGCATAACCGGCTTTGTGTTCAGACTCTTATAATCTTCATGGGCTTCACTTAAGCGACGATGAGTTACTGTTTTTTCATATTGTGTCACAAACTCGTGTAACTGAGTCTGTGAGTTAACATACCCATCAAAAAATGTATTAATACTTTCACTCCTTTGGCTCGATCTCATTCCAGCAAAAAAAGTGTCCTGCATATAACACGGCACCCAGTGTTCTCTGCATTTGTAAACTGTTTGCAACCATCCCTCCCTTTCTTCATTTATATCAAACTTCTCTTTCATCTCAACCCAATATCCTTCACATTGTTCAATTGAAGAACTATTGCACCACAAGCCCCAATACCTTTGAAACTGTTCACCATAACGAGATACCAAAGTAGGCAAATGATCAATAATATGCTTTTGCATGTGCCAATAGCAATAACGATGTCTTGTCGTTGGAAACAGTGAGTGAATAGCATTACACATTGCTCTATCCTGATCTGTTATAATAGCACATGGTTCAATGTCGTGCATGCATTTCAGCCATTCTTCAAATAACCAAACAAATATATCTTCCTGTTCATCGACTAATAATGCACAACCAAGTAAAGTGGACTGCCTATGGTGATTTACACCAGTAAATGGAGCAAATGGAAGACCGAACTTATTAGTTCTGTATGTCACATCAAACACAATAACATCACTGAATTGCAAATAAGATGCTCTTGATCTTCCATCGGCCCAGAATACACTCCTCATTTGTCCACTACTGTCTACTTCTATTGCAAAATAAAATTCTGGATCATTCACTGTCATACTCTGAAAATGTCGAATGATAGATATGCATTCATGACCAATATTGTTGACTTTTTGGGTTCTGATATGATCAATGCACTGTTGTGATGTCACAAGTTCACCATCTCTTCCATTGGTTGCATTGATAACGCGAGAAATAGTGGAAGGAGGCATACCTTCTTCTCGCAGACTATCAATAAGTTTTTTACATCTTTGAGTTTTATGAAATTGTTGATGTGATATGTGCATTTTTGCTTTGTCTGGACTACTCAACACATGATTTGTATGTTCTTCAACAAACCCCGTGACCTCCCACGATTTGTCCTCCAATAATTTAACTCACATCATTGCCTTCATCCCACTCGGGTCTCTCACCGAAGAGGGATCTCTATCTTGCCACTATTAGATTTATTGCCCTCCTTATCACAAACAAACTTTCTGTCTACCACTTCTCTAGTCTTGCGAGAGTAATTCACACTGCTCTTCCTTATTCCAAAGCCCATCAACAATGCATAAGAGTTATAATAGTTATAAGCTTCTTCATTACTATTAAACTTCATTCCTAGTAGTGGTTTAGGAGCATTTACAGAATTGGTCGCAGTTTCAATTCCAATAACACTTGATTCTCCCATTCTGAACTCTACACTATTTGAATTCGTTTCCTCCATTCCAAACTCCTAAAGAAGAAAAAAACAATAATAATGACCACGTTAATTATTTGGGAACAAAAAAAAACATACACAAAAAAAAGACACAAATAAATTTGCAAAATTAGCATATACATTACTGCAGTACCCCATTACTGTTTCCATGACTTCATAAAATTTGCAAAATTAGCATATACTTTATGAATTTCACTGTAGGATCAATAAAACTCAAGTTCATAAAACTCCATTGAGATAAAATTAGCATTTCACTGTAGGATCAATAGAACTCAAGTTCATAAAACCCCGATCCCGGTTAAAATTTTAATCACATCAACACTTAGCAAAAATGCTTTGTCTGGACTACATCAACAAAGCATTCATACAACACAATACATTCTGTATATAAGATTTTTACTTAAATTTAACAGTAAATGTTAGAATTTACAGAACATTACAGTAAGAAGTAAGATTTTTACTTAAATTTAACAGTAAATGTTAGAATTTACAGAACATTACAGTAAGAAGAAAGGAGGCGGTCGAGGAGGCGGTCGAGGAGGCGGTCGAGAGAGGAGAATTTGAAATTTTACCTGTCAAGAGAGATCGAAAGGGGGAGTCGGGGTTGGCCTCACGAGACGAAACGTGCGGCGGCGGTCGCCGATTTCTTAGTCCGAGCGGCGGCGGTGGGTTGGCCTGAGCGATGGCCTGAGCGAAATCGATGAAGTCAGGCGGAGAGGGAGGATTTGGGGTCGATTTCGAAGGGGGCGGCGGGCGCCGTGAGCGATGGCCTGCCAGCGAATCGAAGGAGCTCAGCGTCAGCGGTGGCTGTGGCGGCTGCCAAGGAGGGCGGCCAGTGCTCGCGTCGGAGGAGAGGAACTGGGAAGAGAGGAGCTCTCAGAGAACTGAGATGTTGACGATCGGTGGGAGAGTAGCTAGGAGCTGGAGAGGAGATTTGGAAAGAAAAGTGATTTGGTCACGAGATCTTCTTGGAACTGGCGGAGAGAAAAGTGAAGTTGGGGTTTTACAGCTGTAATCGACGGGCGCGTTCTTTTCAAATCAACCTCTTGCACGCGCACATATCCCTTAACCGCTGGCAGGCTCATGGCCAGTTTTCATATATCATATATATATATATATATATATATATATAATATATATATATATATATATATATATATATATATATATATATATATATATATATATATATATATATATATTATATATATAATATTCTTCGTTACTCATATGCTAGGTATTTACTATGTGAGGATGCTTTCTACCATTGCAAAGGCAGTAATCATTTAATTTTCTTTCAAAATGATATCAGGTATTTACTATGTGAGGATGCTTTCTACCATTGCAAAGGAAATAATCATTTAATTTTCTTTCAAAATGATATCAGTGTACGTTTTCTCTCTTTATGTTTATAGTGGCTTTCATGGGTGTTGAATTCTGAGTTATTTCACATGGAGACGTACAAACTGATCCCAAAATACAACTTGTGTTCGCTAACACCTCTCTATTTGGCAAAATTTCTAGTTGTGGGTCGAAAGGATTTGTTGCGATACATATCCTTCATTGTATGATGAACTAACCTTTAGCATCCAGGCATTATTACATCCTTTGGAAGAAATAATTTATTAGCTATTGTTTTTTCTATACTGGAATATATTTTTGTTCTTGACAAATAGGTATTCAATATTGGTGATGTATGGATCTGAAGTAGAAATTGCTCAATCAATTCTAATATGTACATCAGTACATCTATGTAATCATGCTACTAGAATACTGTAGGTTCCCATCTTGCACAGAGTATAATATTAACACTTAAACTACATGCTTGTACTATGACTTATGGTTGTAAGTACATAGCTCCAGTTCAATCCAAAAGGTGTTTTATTATGAAAATTATGTGAACAAGCAGCTTTCTAGGAAATATATTCAAACTTGTAAAATTTCCCTATTTTAAACATATAATAGCAAGTTGGATATAAAAATAGAGAATATGATGTACCTGCATCCAATTATTGTGATTGTCTGTTTAATCCAGCCATGGCTTGAAAGCTAGACACTATCCTTTGTATTTCTTGCATTTGATAATCTCTTTCTTCTTTTTCCTGTGCTTTTTCTCTTTCCTCTTCCTTAACTTTTTTCTGTATCTCCTCATGTAACTCTTGAATTTTCTTATTAGCAGCATATAACTCTTGGATTTTCTGGTTAGCAACATCTAGCTCTTTTTGAAGTTGAGAGTTGTTTATACTACTCTCGACGTTATAGGATGTAGAAAACTGACTCGTTGTCCTTCCTTTGTATCCAATACCATATCCTCTTTCATATCCCCCATGGTGCTTTCCCGCTACCTCATCAAGAACAGTTGATAGTTTCAATTGATGGGCTTTTGTTACTGGATCTACATCTTGAAGTTGAACTCTGAGCTCCTCAATCCTTTTAATAACCTTCTCCTGCACTTGAGCATATATTTGTGTCCTTAAAGTTCTGTGAGCTAGGTTCAGCATATATTCTTTTCTTCTTCCCGATGATATTTCTTCTCTTCATCATCATCATGATCGCCTATTTAGGCGGCATGTTGTATTATCTGAAAAAATTCCTTTCATTAATATTCATAAATATTTATCACAATTAAGAGAGGATTTATACAATACCTAAGCATATATAATATATGAGTTAAAATTTATTTCTCAATTTAAATATAAGAGGAACTTTGATTTAAAGCTAATAATTAACACCTGAAACTTCTCCAAGTAATACTAAATATGCTTGGAAATGTTGGATCCCATGGCATGTACATGTTTATGTGCATTCTTCTTTTGCTATAATAAAAAATACTGAAATGTACTTGGGTAGTATAGCATAATTGCAGGCTTAGTTAATTAAATAAAATTCTAGCTGGGTAGATAACTAAACTAAAAACAAAATCATAATCTGCATCCAGTTGTCTATTCCCTTATCTTTTTCTAATATATTCATATAAATCAACCATCAAGTACTTTATGTGCATTCAATTGAATTAAATTGAACGGAGTATTAAATGAAAGATAAGCACAAAGAATAAATATAATGAATAAATTTTCAATTAAAATAAAATATCATCTAAAATACCTAAGATTTCTTTTTGTTCTTCCCAAGAAAACTTTTAGCCCCCTCGAGATCTTTCTGACTTACAAATGTGCCAATTCCCATATCTTTTCTAACCCACTCAATATTACCATCATCAATTGTAATGCCTTCTGAAGGGATACATGGATCGATGCTCTGAACATAATTAATATCTTTATCTTCAATTTCCTCCTCTATATGTTGCCCCTCTTCAGGAACTTCATAAGTATCTCTTGGCTTTCAATGACACACAACACTCCAGTTTGGATTTTTAGGATCCTTCGAGTAATTTTTAGGATCCTTCGAGTAATACACTTGTCTTACTTGTGATGGATAGATGAATGGCTCATCTATGTAGCTATTCCGAGATGTATTAAGAGATATAAGATTGTAATCATCTTTCTTCCATCCCAATCCTTCTCTATAGTCATACCAAGTGCATTTAAATAAAACAATAGATTTCATTTTTGGTACTTGTATAACTAATATTTCATCGATTATCCCATAAAATAATTTACTCTCATCACCCACAGTTACAACGCCACTATTTTGTGTTGTTCTTGTAGCCTCGACGGCTTTGGTTTCGAATTTATACTCATTGACACCAAATGCTGGATAACATGTAACATCGGGCAAAGGACCAAAAGCGAGATTGATCACTTCATCATCTAAATGAACATTTTGCCTCTTTAACGTATTAATATATGACAAAGTAATAAATGCATTAGAAATTGATATTATGAAAAATTATAAAGTTTAAGTAAAGTTTTTTTTGAAAGCTTACATGAGATATAAACCAGTCAACGAAATTTTTATGTCCTTCAACTTGGACTTGGCGGTTGTCCAAATTAGAATGTCTTTGCTTTACAAGTTTATCATATAACCTAGATTACCAATATAGTATTAAAATAAAAAAACATTAATGAAAATATAAAACAGATCCACACAACATACTCTCGATATGGGTGCATTGATCCCATATTATCAAGTATAAAGCAATATGCTTGGTACAATTCTTAGAGCGATAGTTTTTTACTCTTTTCTGTACCAAGGGAACCTTCTTGAAGTCGCACTGGTCGATTAAGTTTTGACTCCACATCATCAAGGTAACATGCACAAAATATTGTGGCCTCCTCCATCAAGTACCCCTTAGCAATTGAACCTTCTGGGCGGCTTCTATTTCGTACATAGTTCTTTAGTGTAAGCAAATACCTACATAGAAATTATAAATTATACTTCTAGAATAAATGTAAAATAAAGTGAATATAATTCATTTCACCATATCTCTCAATAGGGTACATCCAACGATATTGAACCAGTCATGCGAGTTTAGCCTCATTCGCTAAATGGACAGTCAAATGTACCATGACATCAAAGAACGCTGGAGGGAAAATCCTTTCAAGCTTGCATAGAATAATAGGAATACTTTGCTCAAGCTTTTCTATCAAATGTACATTAATGACCTTAGAGCATAATTCTCTGAAGAAGCTACAATAGTCATTCAAAACAAGACCTACATCATTTCTAAGTGATGTTCTCATGGCTAATGGAAGGAGTTGTTGCATCAAAACATGATAGTCATGACGCTTCAAGCCAATGATCTTGCTTTCGAATCTGAACTTGTCCTGAGCAGTTTGAAGAAAAATCATCAGGAAGTTTTAAGTCCTTCAAAACTTTTAAGAATCTTTCTTTTTCCTCTTTGCTCATGCTATAGGAGCATGAGGCAATACAAACTTTCCTGCTCTACTAGCTATCTCTTTAGGATGCAAAGGCTTCCTAATGTTTAAAATTTGTAAATCTCTACGAGCATTAAGATTGTCTTTTGTTTTTCCATCTCGACATAATAGAGTACTCAATATGTTATCACAAACATTTTTCTCAACGTGCATAACATCTAGGTTGTGACACACCAATTATGTTTTCCAATATGGTAGTTCAAAGAAAATACTCTTCTTTTTCCAACCTTTTGGTGTTGGTTGCTTTTCAAAAAAAAATTCCAAATGCCACATTATTGTAACTTTGCCACTGATTTAATACATCATGTCCAGATAATGAAATAGGAGCAGTATCTTTCTCCACTTCACCATTGAAATTTTTTCTATCATTTCTCCATGTGTGATTGGTCGATAGAAAGCGGTGATGCCTTAAATACATACATTTTCTGCTACAAGGTAAGTATATGGAACTATGGTTAGTATGACAAATAAGGCATGCAGTATACCCTTTAGTGCTCCAACCTGATAACATACCATATGCAGGGAAGTCTGATTGTCCACAAAATGGCAGCTCTCAACTTGAAGGTTTCATCATTTGCCGCATCATATGTATCGATACCATCTTCCCATAAAGTGTTGAGCTCATCAATCAAGGGTTGTAAGTAGACATCGATATCATTACCAGGCGACTTTGGACCGTCTATTAAAAGGGACAACATGAAGAAAGATTGCTTCATAGCAAACCATGGTGGAAGGTTGTATGCAATCAAAATCACAGGCCATGTGCTTCGGTTGCTGCCTGTCATTAGTTTAAAAGGACTAAACTCATCACTAGCAAGACCAAGCCTTACATTACGAGGTTCCATGGCAAATGAAGGATGTTTTGCATCAAAATCTCACCAAGCTTCAGAGTCTCTAGGATGACTCATTTTTCCATCTTTCCTGGGAGCGTTGTGATGCCAGGTCATGTCTACAGCTGTTTTTTTGGACATATATAACCTCTGCAACCTTGGAATCAACAGAAAGTGACGAAGGATCTTAATAGGAACATTTTTACCTCGAGAATCTTCTCTTCTTTGCTTCCATCTTGATTCTTTGCACACGGGACATGAATTCAAGTTTTCATATTCCCCTCTAAATAGCACACAATCGTTACAACATGCATGTATCTTGTTGCACTTTAAGCCTATTTCATCCATCACCTTCTTTGCTACATACCATGTCTTTGGCATGAGATTGTCTTCAAGTAAAAGATCTTTAAGCAGCTCAAGAAGACTGGAGAGTGACTTATTGCTCCATTTATTCAAATTAAATGTTTGAAACAAACGAACAATAAAAGATAATTTTGAGTACTTCTGATAATTTGGATAAAGTGGTTTCTTTGCATCCTCGATCAAATTTTCAAAGTTTCTTGCATTCCTATCTCTTCCTGTTCTATTTGATGAATCTGAAGTCGCGTCATTTTCATAAGCCGAAGACGATGGACAAATAGATGCTAGTATTCCTGCCATGTCATCTCTTGATGGAAGTATATTAATTGTTTCCTCCGAAGCCTCTTTCGATTTTCACCATGAAAATATCATTTAGTGTAGCCATGTACAAAACCATTCTTGACTATATGCATTTTAATAGTTTTCGTATCATAGTTACAATGGTTTTGACATTTTTTGCATGGACAACATACATTGGACCAGCTATAAAAATTTCTTCAAAGCATTCATTTTCCTCCTTATACATCCAACTCATGTCGGCAATGTAATCGTGTTCCATCTCTCAAGGTATCTAATAGAGTAATTGACATATAAAATTCATTATATTAATTTTAATAGGAAATAATTATGGGTAAAATGGCATATAATAGTCATGGAAAAGGTGTGAATGACCTACTAGAATATAAATATATAAAGTGGAGTCTCTTAAATTGACCATGTATGATGGATTATTTCATGATTTTGTTTTTCTTTTCCCTCTATAACAATTTCATGCATAGTTTATTCAACTATTTTGAGAAGCCCAATAGGGGACAAATATAATGGGTTATATATAATTTATTCACAACACATGGAATTTTGAAATGGAGCAAGAGTTTGAAGAAATAATAAACTTCTTATACTAAATGATTAAATAAGTAATGAAGACAAGCCTATGTAATTTATACAAACCTCATTCACAATCAAATAGATATCTGAATAAATCACAAAATAGATTATTTGTTTAGATTTACATGAATCAAACATATATTTGTACAAGAGATTTGTTTAGATTTACATGAATCAAACATATATTTGTACAAGAGAAGGAGTTTCTTTCAAACAAGAAGGGTTAGAGCTGAAGAATGTCGAAAGTGAATCCAGGAATGCAAAAATTAAAGCAGACTTTAGTATTCTGTATCTAAATAGATCAAATTGGGATTTGAATACGATGATGGACACATGGGTAGATTCTTCTACAGATTCTTTACTGAATAATGAAATTGGTGATCAGGACAGCCTAGTTCTTGGAGGCATCCAGCAAAGAGGTTGGAAACAAATATTATTTAGGGAACACAAATGTTATTTAGGGAACACAATGGAACTGATATAATATCTGGAAGTAGTGGGCGACAGAAAGTTGATTCAAATCCTGAAGCTTCCATAGAGTTGCAGCTTAAGCTGCCTTCTTTACCCGATCCTTGCATTTCATTAGGAAAACATGAAGCTATTACAGACAAGTCATTTTTAAGCCTTGCTACTAAGCATGTGATGTCTACTATCAACCCACCATTGGATAATGGTACAGCTATAAAATCAGAACCAATTGAGAAAGATCAAAAGGAGACAGCTATGGTTCAGTTGGGTTTGTTGAAATCTTTAGATTTGAAACCTGTCAAGTTCGAATCATGTGAAGGACAAGAAATCTCGAGAACAACTATCTCTAGCAACTTGACCTTTGCATGTAGTAAATCTGTAAAGCCAGAGCCACCTACAGAGCCGACCCAAAAATCAATCTCAAGTAAATACTAGGAATTCTTAGCATATTACATTTAAAAAAACTTAAGCAATAACTTCAGATTCTGTCAAGAGAAACAATGTATATGGACATACAAAATCTAAGGAATCACAACATACTCTGTAAAGAAATAATTTAAAAATCATAAAGAAAAAATCAAATATATAATCTTACCTGTAAAAGAATTGTAGTAGGCAATGAGAAGCACGTCCTTTAGAACACGATCAAGAATTTTCGAATTAGAAAATTAGGATCCCTCTGTAAAAAAAGGTAAATAAAAATAGAAATTGATAAGTAAATTTTAAATTAGATACTAAAATAAAACCATGACAAAAAATTTATATTTTGATGGTCCTAAAGATATAATCAAATTGTATGCGTTTTCTTGGAAGTTTTCACTTGGCACATATTAATTCTCAAATTAATCAACATGAAATTACAAAATTACTGATATTTTACAATAAAAGCTCTAGTATCCACAATTTTAAGAATTATTAATTTGAAAGACCAAATAAAAAAGAACATAGAATTACAACAATTAATATGAAAAATGTCCAATTTTTACAAACCCATCAAGAATAACCAACTCCTTGAAGATCCAAGTCCAAAATTCAATCTTTAAACAAGATCAAAAAAAATTCCCAAATAGTAGTTCAGAATCGTTTATGTTGACCAACAAGCACAAAAAAAATAAAAAACAGATCTAATTCAGCAATACTACGTACAGAGAGAAACCAAGAAATCAAAGATTAAGAAAGATTTGTGATGAGTGATTTAGAAGTAGAAGAAGAGGCGGTTCTACCTGAGCGAGTGGGAGCAGAGAAGATGTCGAAGGGTTTCCCTCTATTCCTAATTTCTTGAAGCGGGTCGATAGAGATTGGAGGGAAAAATTTTCCATTGATAATCGGAGGAAAAAGATTTTTTTGTTGATGAATTTAGAGGTGCCGAAACAATTTCGCGTGAGCTCCCCCCCACCCCTGAAAATATCTCCGATCCGTTCCAGACTCTTCTCCTTTCCCATTTATGTTAAAGAAATACATTATTTTATAATTAAATTAAGTCAGTTTTTAGATGGGCCCATTTTAAATAGAAAGTTATTATTAGACCCACTTAAATTATGTTCTATTAGAAACAATTAACTAAAATAGTGTTTCTAATAGACCCAATTGTAGTAGTGATATAAAGTGGTTTTTAAATAATTCAATATATGTATATTTTGTGGTTAGAAAAAGGTAAATCCTCCTTAGTCCTTAGCCTTCCGAAAAGTAGGTTGTAAAATGAGTGAACTCACCTATAGGAAGTGGAAGTATGAGAGTAATATCAATTTGTAGCGTAGTTAGCAAGCATTAGCTAATAGAAACGAGCACAATAGTGAGTCCTAATTTTTTTAGGCTAAATGGCACTTAAATACATTGTAGTTTCACTCACTCAGTATTTATATATGCTCAGTTGTGTTTCGTAGCATTTATATATTTTTTTAGTTGCTCAAATTTGGCAAGTTAATACCCTCTATTTTGTAAACATTACTTTTAGGGGCTGTTTGGTTCGCTATTATAAGGGGTGGAAAACTCAGAAAACCCATCCACGTCAGATTTTTAGCCCTCCACGTCAGCTTTTTTGTTTCCGTCCATTTCTTTGTGCCGCTTTGGTTCGCTCGAATGGAAGAGGGAAAACTCTGCTGAAATCACCGCCAACTAAGATTTTTTTCCCTCTCCGATTTCCTTCCCCAACCAAGTGAAATTGATGAAAACTCTGCCACGTCAGATTTTTTTCCTTCTCTGCTTTATTTACAAAAGTTTTTATTTTTTTCTATGCGAACCAAACACAAGAAAAATAAATACATTAGTTTCCCACCATTTTTTATGTGCGAACCAAAGCAAAACAATCTATTTCTTAGAAAAGTTTGGAAAACTCAAAACTTGTGTTTCTTTACATGGAATTACATTTCTCTATATCAAGGAAACGAACCAAACAGCCCCTTAATCCAAAAGTTCTCATATAACATTTACACACACACATACATACTTAATTTATAACTTACTGTCTATTAAGCTTGTTGTATTCATTCTTAAATCTTTCAAAGTTTTTTTCTTAAAATAGAATTAGGATACATTTAAATTAAAATTTGGGTAGGTTTAATAGTAAGTTAATAAATATTGATAATTAAAGAGCTCTAAAAATTAACACATAAATGTCATTTGAGAACTTTCAAATTAAAGTTTTCACATTTACATAGCATAGGGTACTAGCATGCCTATTTTAAATAACTTGGTGTGTATATAAATACTATGAAATATAACCCAGAGTATATAAATACTAAATGAGTGGTACTATAACGTATTTAAGTGCTATTTTTTGTCTTTTTTAATAGCAATTGTCATGGGTCCATTCCACACTTCTCTTTCGTATGTGTCAATTTAAAACATGTAATATGAAACTGATCATAGTATGCGTAACATTACTCATAAAAATGTTAAGCATAGTATGATCAGTATGCTTAATATTTTTACGAGTAATGTTAAGCATACTATGATTAGTATGCTTAACATTAGCATTACTCATAAAAATCGCCATAAAAAAACACTACTCATAAGAAGAACCCTTTATATCGATAATTAACAAAGTATTTAAGAAAGTGGACCAATTTGGGAGGGGATTATCGAAGTCCATAAAGAACATGGTAAGAATTTTTTTTTTAATCGCCACATATATGAGGAATAACCATAAAAAAGGAATTAATATAATTCGTATATTCCCACTGGTTATTGAATCGGGGTAGACTAAGGGGGTGTTTGGTTGCATTGTTTTTGAGAAATGTTTTCTCAAAAGTACTGACGCATGGCATTTGGTTGCATTGTTTTTGAGAAATGTTTTCTCAAAAGTACTGACGCATGGCATTTATGTAATTAAGAGTTTTCTATACATTTCTATAAACTGTGTTTGGCTCCAAAAAAATTTACAGAAATGTTTTCTGTAAAGTGCCCAAAAGTACCAAATTTTTTGGAAATTGATTTCCTTTTAAAATGGGAGGAAATCTCTTGGAAATCTGACGCATTCATTATTTAAATAATATAACTCATTAACTCTTTTCTAAAAAGTTCTCACTTTTCTATAAAGTTGGTGGTGTTTGGTTACATTTCTATAAATTATAGGAAATGTTGCTATTTTCCTAAAAGTTATTTCTCATTTTCTTGTTTTGAACCAAACAAGCACAATACAAAAAATAAGAAAATTTGTACTTTTTAACTTCTCAAAACTTTTCCTATAATTTTTTAAGAAATACAAGGAAATCAAATTTGGGATGGAAAACATTTCCTATAATTTATAGAAATGTAACCAAACACCCCCTAAGATTTCGCTCCAAAAATAACTGTAGGGACTTCAAAATAAAAGCTTACCTTAAATAATTACTATCATCACGAAAGATAACGAATGGGATGAACCTTGTCAACTTGCACTGCGTTTATCTTAACATTGGTTAGTCAGTGGTGATTGCTACGTATTAACAATGATTAAAGTATATGCTATGGTATTAATCGAAAGAATTTTTTTTCGTTCAAGAAGAAAAGGAATGTAAATTAATATATCATTTTTTAAATATAACTACATCATTGTACTATATGAGTTGTGTTACTTCCTAATTTTAAATAAAGATAAATCATTATTACTTTCTAAATTAACAATAAACGATGTAAATTATTTTGTTTCTTCATATACCCATAGTTTTTAACCTAATTTATCTTTAAGTACACCCACTTTTCCAAAACCATTCTCAACCCAAAATACTCTCAAATTAATTACACAAAAAGAATCATTAAATTAGACAAAAGAATCATTAAATTAAAAAAACAAACTTAAGTTAAAATAAATGCGAAAATAACATTAACAAAGCCTGACCCAATTTCTGCGCAGACAAGACAAACTGATTCATTTCTGCACTCATGCATGTTTCAGAGCATAAAGCAACAATAATAAGACAAAAACTAACACATTAATAAAAACAGGTTCAAAATTAATTACATGCTCGGCCACGGCCACTAATTAATAGCTCATAGAAAGAGAGAAGAGAGAGAAAGAAAACAGTGGAAAATTCTTCAAGCTCACGCGCTAATCTTTAGCTTTCTTCTCTCCTCTTTCTAGCTCACTATACCACACTGGACTTAACTAAACTAAGTAAAACAAGAATACATAGTTGATTACCTTTCTATATACAACCTACAACTATTTTGAACCACCTCCGGTCGCTCCGTCTCCATTGTGGTTCCAAAGCTGAGAAAAGAAGGGATCGGTGTCGTCAAAATCATCCAGGGCCCCCAGACTGCTCGCCGCAAATGGGGCCGTCGCGTTGCCAATGAACATAAAGTCGTCGTCGACACCACCGACCTCCATCTCCTCAACCCTAAACTCTCGAGCGGCGTCTTTATCCTCCTCCCCTACTGACCGCGACGTTGGCGACGTCCCCAGAGGTGTCGTAGGAGAATGCCTCGAAGAGGAAGAAGCCCCAGACTGCTTGTTGCGGGTGCTACCAGAGAGAACGCTCTTGTGAGTGGNNNNTCGGTGTAGGTGATGATCACCAGTTTCGGATCGACCCAGTTCTTCTCCACAAGTTTTCGGGCCGGGCAACTCTTATTAGTGCTGCACCTGTAATAACCTCTAAAATAAAAATTAAAAAAAAATTAAGATTAATTTAATGATGAAGCACTGAACATGAGTTGCAGTTTTCGTTTAAAAAAAAAAAGAAAAAGGCTGCCGATAATTAAGCAGAAGCTATGAGATTCATCTGCTCCGATACTCGAGCTTAATTACCGAGGATAAGGGGAGCCTTTAATGGGCTTCTGTCCGTACTTCCTCCAAGCCCAGTTGTCACTGCAGTTGCTGGTATCCGCCGGAGCGTGAACCACCACCTTCTTGATGGGCTCCTTCCTGTTCATTTTTATAGTTTTTTTTCCCCCAAAAAAAGTTAACCAAAAACGATCTTTCATATTTAGTAACAAAATCAAAATAAAAGAAACAAACGCCTAAAAATCGTGAAAAAATGTCCACCTACTTTTTTTTGCCTGATCTCCCCCCTAGCTGCCGCTTTTGCTTCGGCTGATCCGAGGCCTTCGTTGGGGGTCCCACAACTCCGGCGGCGGTCGGAGGCTGCTGAATCTGTGATAGGAACGGCATGCAAACTTCCTCCAAGCCCCCGAAACTTGAAGCATTGGCAAAATCCATTAACGACACGTTCTCATCAATCCTCACCATCGTCGGAGGAGGAGGAGGAGAAAAAATGTGAGAGAATGGGTCGGCCCTTGGTGGCGGCGGAGGAGGAGGCGGCGATTTGGGTTGAAAGAAGCTTCTGACAGCGGACCAGAGGTCGCCGTCACGGGGGTCCATGGACGTTGACTTTTCTTAAAGAGGGAATAAAAAATGGATGAGGGAGAAGGCGAGGGGCTTTGTGGGAATTTATAGACGGGAAAACCGCGGTGGTTTTGGGAAAACCAGAAAACAGGTTATTGCGGAAATTTGACTTTGAGAAGCTGTCAAAAGAGCGAGAGAATGCGGGTGAACAAGTGGAGGCGTAGAGACGGGTACGTCCACGTACACGCGCCACCGACCCTGGGAACTGCCGTGCCCGAGGCCACTGCACGGTTGGGATTAAAAGGTTGAGAAGGGGGTCGAAATAGTACGGTTACGGTGGGACCCGAGGTGGGTCCTACCATAGTGAGTGTGGTTTTTTGGTAGGGTTTGGATTAGGGGTGCTAAACCGTATTCGTATCTGAGAAAATATATGTAACCGTATCCGTTAGGATACGGATATGGTTACTCAAATCTATAACCGATAAGATATGGTTACGGATATGCTTTTGTAGTGAAATATCCGTATCCGTATCCGAAATATCCGAATACATATTAGTCATACTCTTACGATAGTTTCGATTCTTAGATTATGGATTTGTGATTAATTTTGATGACCAATATGTCTAATCTTAACTTTTCAATCATAATAGACATATTAACAAACTCTTTTGTACCACATGAACTATGTTTTTCTCAATACTATTTAGTTTTCTCATATCTATTTTGTATCTGCGTGTATATCCGCTTATATATCCGCATGTATATCCGTAACCATGTCCGATTTTAGCGGATATGGTTATAAATTTTTCTTACCAAGGTATATCCGTATCCGTATCTGTATCCGAGATGGGTAAGTGGATATGGATATGATAAGCATCATATCCGAGCCGTATCCGGACTGAATGCACCCCTAGTTTGGATCCATCTTGCTGTGAAAAATCTTGAGAAAACACTACTATTTTAATTATAAGGGTTTATTATTGTTGATTATATAATAGACGGTTGTGTGTATTTTTAAATTTAATATTTATTGTTACCTCTTTAAAGACAATTTTCTACTTTTCACTCAAGATATAATTGTTGGTTAAATAATAGATGGTTGGTGACTAAAAGTAGTAGTTTTGATTATGAAGAGAGTCTAATAGAGACCATGATTAATGAACACGATGAAGTGACCATACTGTGTCTCACAAAGGAACGCTATATAATGTTGTTAGGTGTCAACCCTAGCTCATGTTCACAACCGAGGAGAGACATTTCCACTGAAAAAGAAGAGAACAATGCATAAAAAATTACTATCAAACTTTTAACGAGATAGAGTCGCGATTAAGTAATTATTAGTAAAATAGAGGATAATTATCTAAAAGGATCTAGTTGAGTTGACAAGTTGTTTATGAGTAGTACTCTAAGGGTCTGTTTGGCTATTTCCAAAAAAAAAGGAAATGGAAATGTCACTTTTCAAATGCTTTCATAACATTTCAAGACATTTCCCAGTTTTCTTTTTTTATGTTTGTTTCGCAAAGAAAACTCTCATTTTCACTGCCAAGTCACACAAAAAACAAAAAAAGCCTCCATAGTAACAGTGTTGGACATTTCCATTTCTTTTGTTTGTTTGAAAACAAGAAAAAGAAAAAGAGAGAAAACCAATTTAAATAATATGTTTTATTCTCTCATCAATCCTCACCATCGTCGGAGGAGGAGGAGGAGAAAAAATGTGAGAGAATGGGTCGGCCCTTGGTGGCGGCGGAGGAGGAGGCGGCGATTTGGGTTGAAAGAAGCTTCTGACAGCGGACCAGAGGTCGCCGTCACGGGGGTCCATGGACGTTGACTTTTCTTAAAGAGGGAATAAAAAATGGATGAGGGAGAAGGCGAGGGGCTTTGTGGGAATTTATAGACGGGAAAACCGCGGTGGTTTTGGGAAAACCAGAAAACAGGTTATTGCGGAAATTTGACTTTGAGAAGCTGTCAAAAGAGCGAGAGAATGCGGGTGAACAAGTGGAGGCGTAGAGACGGGTACGTCCACGTACACGCGCCACCGACCCTGGGAACTGCCGTGCCCGAGGCCACTGCACGGTTGGGATTAAAAGGTTGAGAAGGGGGTCGAAATAGTACGGTTACGGTGGGACCCGAGGTGGGTCCTACCATAGTGAGTGTGGTTTTTTGGTAGGGTTTGGATTAGGGGTGCTAAACCGTATTCGTATCTGAGAAAATATATGTAACCGTATCCGTTAGGATACGGATATGGTTACTCAAATCTATAACCGATAAGATATGGTTACGGATATGCTTTTGTAGTGAAATATCCGTATCCGTATCCGAAATATCCGAATACATATTAGTCATACTCTTACGATAGTTTCGATTCTTAGATTATGGATTTGTGATTAATTTTGATGACCAATATGTCTAATCTTAACTTTTCAATCATAATAGACATATTAACAAACTCTTTTGTACCACATGAACTATGTTTTTCTCAATACTATTTAGTTTTCTCATATCTATTTTGTATCTGCGTGTATATCCGCTTATATATCCGCATGTATATCCGTAACCATGTCCGATTTTAGCGGATATGGTTATAAATTTTTCTTACCAAGGTATATCCGTATCCGTATCTGTATCCGAGATGGGTAAGTGGATATGGATATGATAAGCATCATATCCGAGCCGTATCCGGACTGAATGCACCCCTAGTTTGGATCCATCTTGCTGTGAAAAATCTTGAGAAAACACTACTATTTTAATTATAAGGGTTTATTATTGTTGATTATATAATAGACGGTTGTGTGTATTTTTAAATTTAATATTTATTGTTACCTCTTTAAAGACAATTTTCTACTTTTCACTCAAGATATAATTGTTGGTTAAATAATAGATGGTTGGTGACTAAAAGTAGTAGTTTTGATTATGAAGAGAGTCTAATAGAGACCATGATTAATGAACACGATGAAGTGACCATACTGTGTCTCACAAAGGAACGCTATATAATGTTGTTAGGTGTCAACCCTAGCTCATGTTCACAACCGAGGAGAGACATTTCCACTGAAAAAGAAGAGAACAATGCATAAAAAATTACTATCAAACTTTTAACGAGATAGAGTCGCGATTAAGTAATTATTAGTAAAATAGAGGATAATTATCTAAAAGGATCTAGTTGAGTTGACAAGTTGTTTATGAGTAGTACTCTAAGGGTCTGTTTGGCTATTTCCAAAAAAAAAGGAAATGGAAATGTCACTTTTCAAATGCTTTCATAACATTTCAAGACATTTCCCAGTTTTCTTTTTTTATAATGTCACTTTTCAAATGCTTTCATAACATTTCAAGACATTTCCCAGTTTTCTTTTTTTATGTTTGTTTCGCAAAGAAAACTCTCATGCTTTCATAACATTTCAAGACATTTCCCAGTTTTCTTTTTTTATGTTTGTTTCGCAAAGAAAACTCTCATTTTCACTGCCAAGTCACACAAAAAACAAAAAAAGCCTCCATAGTAACAGTGTTGAACATTTCCATTTCTTTTGTTTGTTTGAAAACAAGAAAAAGAAAAAGAGAGAAAATCAATTTAAATAATATGTTTTATTCTTCATAACTATTCAAACAGTGCTTTTAGAAATAAATAATTCTCTGAAGTGATATTTCCCAGTGTTTTCAGAGGTTTTTGTTGTGAAAACACATTTCTTAAAAATATGAGGTGGCATCCTATGTGGCTTTTCATTTCTCAAAATTTAAAAACGAAACAAACACCTAAAATGGAAAACTCTTGAAATCAAAATCCTAGGTGGCACAGGGGGGTTTTCTTGAAAGGTGATGTGGAGGGACATTTCTCATTTTTTTTTAAAGCAAACAAACAGACCCTAATGTCTTGGATTCGACTCTTCTAAAGAGCACCCACAAAAATTTAGCTTTCTAGAATAGCCGTGGCTTTGCGTTTTGGGGTACCTTTTAGTTTGCCTAAGTGTTTGATACCTATGATCCAAAAAATCGTAGAAAATTTTCCTCAACAAACAAAGACAAATACATGTTATGTTACTAGCTTCAAACTTACAACTCACTTGTAGAATCACCTTTAGATCGTGAATAATATCACAAGATATTTTCAAGATATGTGTAAAATATTAAACAAACAAGCCAAGAGAATGAACTCTTAAAAAATCTGCTTCCCTTTCTCTCTCTTCACAAGGAATAACAAGCTCTCTCTGTAAGCTAGCCGTTCAAAAGTCTAAGAGAGAGAACACAAATCCCCTATAATTAGGTGGTAATTGAAGAATGTTTAATTATTCTAATCATATTGCCGTTTATTCCAATTTCAAACAATGAGATTATGCCACATATGCTCTTCACTTATATTGAAAACCATCATTGTGTTAAAAACCACTAGTACATGGTGTCATCTTATCCCTTGGAGTTGGAGTGGACATTAAGGAATTAAGTAATTGGGTACTCTCCAATTATCATCTAACTAGTTTGCGGTCCGTGCAAAGCACGGTTTTTTTTTTCTACAGTAATCCCGCTTTTTTAATATGGTATTATTCGAATTTTTGAAAGTGCTACAGTACCTTTTAAATGCTACGATATACCCGTGTGCTACAGTACTATTTTTAATTAATTATTAGCTATAGTAATAATGCTACAGTAAATGCTACTGTAGCATTTGCTGTAGCATGAACAGTGAATCTCTGATCCTCCTATTTGTATAAAGGAATAGATTGGAGATGATTTAAAACCTGAGATGGAAATGAACAATGTTTAGCAAATTACTCTAAATTTTAAATTAGAATTTTCGTAGAAAAATACCAAGAACTAATTTTTAATGTAAAAACAAAAAGTACCAAGTCAACAAAAAAAGTATCACAAATAGTCAGAAATCTAAAGCTTAGTTACATGATGATACCTAAACATAATTTTAATTATCTGATAATAATGTAAATCATGGTAGTTTATTCAAAAATTCATTGTAATATTCAAAAGAATAAAGGGAAATTCATCATATTATATTCATACTTAAGTTCTTCTTATAGAGGATAGTCCTTTACTAA